ATATGGATGGAACTAAAGTGTATTATGCTGAGCAAAACAAGTCAGTCAGAGAAAGACAAATACCATACGATTTCACTCATATGTAGAATTTAAGGAGCAAATGAACATAGCAGGGGGAAAAAAGAGAGGCAAACCAAAAAACAAACTCTTAACTATATAGAACAAACAGATGGCTTCTGAAGGGGAGGTGGGCAGGGGGATGGGTTAAATAGGTGGTGGGTATTGAGGGGATTTGTTGTGATAAGCCCTGTGTTCTATGGGGGTGATGAATCACTAAATTCTACACCTGGAACTAGTGTTGCACTGTATTTAAATAAAAACTTGGAAATAAAAAAGACGTCTGTAAAGCAGTATGCAAATACGTATATGGACTGAATGAGTGTCTTCATATTAATTAATACATTTAATAATTAATAAAAGTCCATTTTCATTAAATGCATATATTTTTCAAACATCACTGCAATTAATAAAATCTACAAAACTGTATTGCATTAAAAGAAATACAGTATACGTGATAAAAAATTAAAGATAACCACTAAAGATATATAGTCTATGTCTTCCAAATTAAACAAGGGGGAAAATGGAATTAACAAAAAAACCCCCAAAAGCTATAACCATCTTGATTAAGAAATAAAAAAGAAAGCACAGAAGATTAAAAGAGTAAACAAACAAACAAAAAATACATAAAATAGGGGAAAAATAAATCCAGGCAATAGCAATTAAATGGAGTGAACCTTCAAATAAAAAATAAATTCTCAGGTAATATATTATAGTGCTTACCAAACATGTCTGAACATTTGAACAACTAAGAATTTTCATAATATATTTGTGTCCCATGCCCAGAGACTGTAATTTAATTGGTCTGGAGTGTGTCCAGGGATCTGGAATTTTTAAAAGAACCCAGCTATGCATACAAATTTGGAAATCATTTCCACATTTTTTAAAAAAAAGTGGTTATGTCAATTGATACTGCCATCAGTAAGGTATGGAACACTTAAAAAACAAAACAAAACAAAGCAACAGAGTTGTTCAAATATAATTCACATAACCTACAGTTCATTCATTTAAAGTATACAATTTAATAAGTTTTAGTATATTCACAGAATTCTGGAACTATCACCAAAATCTAATTTTATATTTTTATCACTTCAAAAAAAAAAAGAAAAACCCTTGTACCTATTAGTAGTCATTTCCAATTTCCCTACTCTCATTCTCCATTCACCTTCACCTCCTACCCCAAATGTACTTGCAACCACTAATCTACTTTCTATCTCTATAGATCATCTATTGTAGACATTTCATAAAAATAGAATCATGTAATATATAGTCTTTGTATCTGGCTTCTTTCACTTAGCATGTTTTCAAGGTTCATCCATGTTGTAGCATGTATCAGTACTCCTTTTTATTGCTGAATAATATTCCATCTTAAGGATAAACCAAATTTTATTCTCCTTTCATCAGCTGGTGGACATTTGGGTTATTTCCACATTTTGGCTACTATATTGCTAAATAATTATCCATTGTAAAATGATACCAAATTTTATTCATTTATTCATCAGTCAACAGACGTTTGGGTCATTTTCATTTTTTGGCTATTGTGAAAATGAAGTATGTAGCATTTCTGCCACCAAGAAGTTGTAAACACTTGGTACTACCACTTAATTTTTCCCCCTCCAGGGTATGTGAAATCATTATCTGACTGTGGCTTTAATTTGCATTTCCTGATTGCTAATGAAGTTGAGCACTTTTTCATGTTTGTTGGTTATCTGTATTTCCCTTTATTTTAACTTAATGATATTAACCCCTTATCAGATATACCACTTGTAAATACTGTCTTCCATTCAGTAGGTTATCGTTTCATGTTTTCCATGGGTGTCCTTTGGTGTACAAAAGCTTTTTATTTTGATGTAGTCCCAATAGTCTATTTTTGCTTTTGTGTCCCTTCCTGAGGAGACATATTCATAAATATGTTGGTAAGAGTGATGTCCAAGAGATTATTGCCTATGTATTCTTTTAGTTCTATGATTTCAGGTCTTAATCCATTTTAAGTTTATTTTTGTGTATGGTATAAGAAAGTGCTATAGTTTTCATTCTTTTGCATGTAGCTGTCCAGTTTTTCCAGAACCATATGCAAAAGACTCTCCTTTCCCCAACTGAATATTCTTGCTGCCTTTGCTGTAGATTAATTAATGATGTATGTGTGGGTTTATTTCTGGGATCTCTGTTCCACTGATCTATGTGTCTATTTTGTGCCAGTACATACTGTTTTGTTTATTACAACTTTGTAGTGTATCTTGAAATCTGAAATTGCTATACCTCCAGCTTTGTTCTTTTCTCAAGATTGTTTTGGCTATTCAGGGTCTTCCGTGGTTCCATATATATTTTAGGATTGTTTGTTTTAGTTTTGTGAAAAATGCCATTGGTATTTTGTTAGGCATTGCACTGAATCTATGGTTTGCTTTGGGTAGTATGGACATGGACATATCACAATTATTAATTTTTCTAATCCATGAGCAGGGAATATCCTTCCATTTGTGTTGTCTTGAATTTCTTTCATCAATGTTTTATAGTTTTCAGAGCATAAGTCGTTCACTTCCTTGATTTATATCCTTTTCCTCACTGCCCATGCATGTCTTTTACCCAATTCTTCAAAAAAATTATTTACCTTTTTCTCGTTCTATAAAAGCTTTTTATATCCTAGGTATTAATTTTACTGTTGTCAATATGAATTGCAAATATCTTCACCCAATGTCTTTTACTTTATGTCTTTTTATAAAGAAAACAATTTTCATGCAAATTTATCAATCTATTACTGATTTTTTTTTTTTTAAATCTAACCAGAACCTTTAGAAATGTTCTATCTGGTTCTCTTTCAAATCAGATCCTTTATGAAAATCTCATTGCTTGTCATTTTTGTGATTTCGCTTATTTCTTAAAACATTTCACCAACATTTCATATTTATATCTAATAATGCCAATAAGCCAAATCATTTGCCATGTAATCTATTGTTTCTTTACATTATCTATCACTCACCTATGACCTGTTTCCTTGTGGGTTTGATGATCTTTGTGACCTCCTCTTTTGTTGATCTTAATTTTGGGGAATTCTAAAGCCCTCTTACTTTCCTTCAGAGAGGATGTGCATTTTCTTTGGCCAGAAGTCAGAGGACCCCACCTCAAAAAATAAAAAAAAAATTTGGACTCCTTTTCTGAAGTTGTTTAACTATATTTATTTCTTATTATTCTATCACTCACTCTTTAATTATGTTTTTTGTTCCTCCTAAGTTAACACCAACCCCAAACCCTTTACACTTACTCCTCCATCTACTGGAATACCATTCCCCCATAGACTGGCCTGACTCATACCCTTTTATCAGTCAAGTCTTCCCTCAAACATTACCTCTTTAGAGAGGTTTTTGAAAATTTTCCTACCTAGGGTCCTGGGTGGCTCAGTCAGTTAAGCATCTGATTCTTGTTTTCGGCTCAGATCATGATCTCAGGGTTTTGAGACTGAGCCCCACATCAGACTCCACATACAGCAGGGATTCTGCTTGAGATTCTTTCTCTCCCTCCTCCTCTGTCCCTCCACCCCCACTGCTGGTGCTTTCCCTCTCTCAAAAAGAATTAAAAAAAAAATAATCTACCTATAAAATAGCCCACCCGTACTCCCCAGTTAGTTCATTTGCCTATGAACTAACTTTTATCTTTACCTTTATTCATATTCTTTATTACTACTTGCAACTGTTACATTTACTAAATAAATGTATATATGTATATATATATATATATAGATATGTATGTATATACATATCTATATATATATATATATATATACATAGGCACACAAATACACATATATTTTTATTTCCTTCTTTACTTTTTATTTCTCCTATGAGAATACGGCAGAATATGAACCTTATCTAGATCATCATTTCTCCAGTGCCTACTACAGTTCTTGGCAAAGAATAGGCTCTTAGTAAATGTATTTAGAACGAATGAGTACATTTTAAAGAAGGAGAAAATGATATAAGTGAGAAAATGATATAATTTAAAAATCTAGAACAGAACAGATTCCCAAGTTTAAATAAAAGGGTTGTTTTCACTGGAGGAAAGGAAAAGGCCCTCCTTTGGCAGTGGGAAGGACTACCATAAAAGACCAAAAGGGAGAAGTAGGGATTAGGTGGGATTCCTTAGAGAGATTGAGCTGAAATCTCTTGCTTTTCTTTTCAAGTGAGAAATTTTTTTTGCCACATGACCTGGGCTCTGAAAGGCAGTGTACCAACCAAAAACTTCATAAAGCCTTCCGAGTAAAGAGTGAATTGGCAAGAGACAGTTACATTCCAAGGACTTAAAAAATCCAAAGAAAGTGATCATTTAGGTTGGAAAATCACTTGTTGAAGTTTTAACTGATATAGGGTGTCTCTTATCTATAGGAAAAAAACAATTATCTTTCTTAGACAATCATATATTCTTCCTGAGCTCTTTTCCAATAGAAGGTGGTTCTGGCACATTCACTCAATGTAAAATACAAAGTTCTTAAAATGTAATATTAAATTATAAAACACAAATAAGAGAATGTATTTGTTGTAATGGACTGTGTTGGCCTGACTTGATCTACCCTATTACTATGTAAATAATATAAGCTCTTCTATTAGAAAAACCATACATTTCTGCATCTATTTTTTAAAAAAATACTTTGAGCGCCTTTAGCAGATCTAAATTGTAACAATGGATAGTCTGTTTTTAATATTTCAAGTGTCCCAGAATTCAACTCTAGCTCCTTGATAATCAAGGAAGACAGGAAGGCAGACAGACAGAAGATAGATAATTATACTTGCAGAATGGAGAAGCCACATGTGCCCTCTGAAATACTACTATTTCTAGTAATTTAAAACCATTCTTTTGAGAATAGTAAGAGGCAATTCAGTTAATTACTTAAAAACAGAGAAAGCAGCCATTCCAAAGGTAAATCCTGAAATACTAGGGTTATATTTCCTTACCTACTAGTGACACCAAGTTACTATAGTTCTCCAACATCACATCTCTATACAAATCCCTTTGAGCAGAGTCCAGGTATTCCCACTCTTCCTGAGAGAAGTCAATGGCAACATCCCTGAACATCACTGATCTCTGAAACAACAAATATAATACTAGTTGTAGAAATAAAGAAAATATTTTTTCAATGAAGGGGAGATGATGGGGGAGCTCTCCACAAGGAGGCAACAGAGAAAACAGCAAAAAGCCACTGACACTAAAGATATCATAGCTTCTGGTGGGCCAACACATCCCTCTTTATTCCTGTTGCTGTAGATATTTCCTGTCTATAGAACATCTCATTATACAGATATGCCTGGAACTTAAATAAAGAAGATGTAATGTCCCAATTAAAAGAAAAAGCACACATAGGCATCCTGTACAATACTCTATTACTCGCTCTTTCATTATGCTTATATCTTGTATATCATTCTCAATAAATGAAAGGTTCTCTTATTCTCTAAGATATAAGAAAAATAACTGGGCAAGTTTTTCTGAAAAATCTTATAAAATCTGTACTTTGTAAGATTTGTATAGTTAAAGAATTTATTGAAATCTCAGTTCATCATCATATCAGACAGAATACATCATAAGCATTTTCCTTACCAATAATTTAGAATATGTTTTTAAAGGGTTGCAAAATAGCTTTATATAATGAATATGTCTGACTTACTAAGTGTGCATATTTGAACACTTTAGGTTACATAAAAATCTCAAAAGCATGTCTCATTTTGGGAGTTTATAATTTTCAACAACTTTTGCATGTGAATTATAATCTTTCTTGTTACTATTTATCACTTAAAAATGTACCCTTCCCTTGTTCTAAGCAACAAAGAGATAAAAAGATAATCTAAACTTATGCATATAAGATTAACTCATAATGTTGATTCTCACAATGATCTATATTATTGCTTTATGTCAATTATGGATTCCCAGGGAAGATCCCTGATCTCTCTGTCTCTAATCATGCTCCTAACCAATCTTAACAGCTCACAGAAATAAGCTCTTGCCAGGTATGGAGCTAGAGTCCAGCCAAAACTAATGATACTGCCTAACCAAGAAAAGTTCAGTTTTCTCATATGTGGTGTGATTTAACAAACTTCTCTATCTTATAAAATCAGGGAATCTGCTTCTGTCATAACAGTGCTCCTAGTCTGAGATGCTCAAACTATTTTTGAATAATTACGTAAATATACATTAGATTAGAAAGACAAACTTCAGGAGGATCCTTATCACTTACAAGAATGAAATGCTGGGGACCACATTTTTTTTTTTTAATTTTAAAGATTTTATTTATTTATTTATTTATTTATTTGTCAGACAGGAAGAGAGAGCGAGCGCACAAGCAGGCAAAGGCGGAGAGAGAAGCAAGCTCCCTGCCGAGCAAGGAGCCCAATGCGGGACTCAGTCCCAGGACCCAGGGATCAAGACCTGAGCTGAAGGCGGTGGCTTAACCGACTGAGCCACCCAGGCGTCCCTGGGGACCACATTCTTGAGTGGGATTGGTTAGGAAGGAAATTTCAGAAATAAGAAATGCAAACATACACATACTCTGTAAAAAAGTGACTACTTAAAGAGAGCACAAAAAACCACCAATTTACCTGAGCCATGGTTTTTAGCGCTGCAAGAAATGATCAATCCTCCTCTGGATTCCTAGCTTAGAGAAGCACAGAGTCTGAAAAAGGCAGAGCTGGAGAGAAGAAAACAGAACCATGAGACCATGCTTTTTGCAAAGCTCCAAATAAGTTAGAATTATCTTTCTTGCTCTCTTCCTCCTGTCTCTAGCTCCTGTCACCAAAAGATACTCTATGGGAGACGTACAGGTGGTGGTTATTACCCTGATCAAACTCAATGCTCTCTATATACAAAACGATAATATTTGTAACAACTTCTCTACCATTTCTGAAATAAAAATATAGATAATATGACACATTTATATATTCTATGCCAAAAATGGAGATAATGATCAACTGTTACATAAATTAAAAGGCACAACTAAACACTTATGCTTTACAACTACTTGAACAAATTCAGATTTATAAGATGACAATATTCAGGAAAGCATTTTTTTAAGTGCTATGTTTTAAATTTTAATTCCAGTACAGTTAACATACAGTGTTATATTAGTTTCAGGTGTACAATATACTGATTAGACAATTTTATATATTATTCAGTGCTCATCATGGTAAGTGTACTCTTAATCCTCTTCACCTATTTTACACATAATTCCACTCACCTCCCCTCTAGCAACCAATGGTTTATTCTGTATAGTTAGGAGCCTGATTCTTGGTTTGTCTATTTTTTCTTTGTTTTATTTCTTAAATTCCACATGAGTGAAATCATATGGTATTTGTCTTTCTCTAATTTCATTTAACATTATACTCTCTAAATCTATCCATGTTGTTGTAAATGGCAATATTTCACTCTTTCTTAATGGCTGAGTAATATTCCATTACATATACATATATATATAAACATATACTACCTTTATCCATTCATCTATCAATGGACACTTGGGCTGTTTCCATAATTTGGCTATTATTAATAATGCAATAAACACAGGGATGCATAAATCTTGTCAAATTAGTGTTTTCATATTCTTTGGGTAAGTACCCGTAGTGGAATTACTGGATAATACGGTAGTATCTTGGCTATTGTAAATAATGCTGCTATAGGAGTACATGTATCCCTTTGAATTAGTGTTTTGGTATTCTTTGGTAAATACCCAGTTACACAACTGCTGGATTGTAGGGTAGTTCTTTTTTTTAATTGACATATAATGTATTATTCGTTTCAGGGATACAGGTCTATGAATCATCGGTCTTATACAACACCCAGCACTCACCACAACACATACCCTCCCCAATGTCCCTCATCCAAGTACCCCATCCTCCTAACCCCCTCCCCTCCAGCAACCCTATTTGTTTCCTAAGATTAAAAGTCGGGATTATAGGGTAGTTCTATTTGTAACTTTTAAAGGAAACTTCATACTGTTTTCCAGCGTGGCACCACCAGTTTGCATTCCCATAAACAATGCACGAGGGTTCCTTTTTCTCTACACCCTCGCTAACACTTGTTGTTTCCTGTGTTTTCTATTTTAGCTATTCTGACAGGTGTGAAGTGATATCTCCGTGTGGTTTCGACTTGCATATCCCTGATGAGGGATGTTGAGCATCTCTTCATGTGTCTGTTGGCCATCTGTAAGTCTTCTTCAGAGAAATGTCTGTTCATGTCCTCTGATCATTTTTAAATTGGACTATTTGGTTTTTCTGTTGAAATGTGTAAGTTGTCTATATATTTTGGATAATAACCCTTTATCAGATTTGTCATTTGAGAAGATATTTGCAATATCTTCTTTTAGTTTTGGTGTTTCCTTGGCTGTGCTGAAGCTTTTTATTCTAAAGTAATCTCAATATTTTATTTTTGCTTTTGCTTCCCATCTCAGGAGACATATATAAAAACGTGTTGCTAAGGCTGATGTCAGTGTAATTACTGTCTGTGCTCTCTTCTATGATTTTTATGGTTTCAGGTCTCACATTTAGGTTATTAACTAATTTTTAAATTTTTGTGTATCATGTAAGACACTGGTCTAGTTTCATTCTTTTGTATGCAGCTGTCCAATTTTCCAAGCACCATTTGTTGAAGAGATTTTTTCCATTGCATATTCTTGTCTTTTTTTTGTCCAAGACTAATTGACTTATAATTGTGGGTTTATATCCAGGCCCTCTATTCTGTTCCACTGATCTGTTTTTCTGCCAGTACCACATTTTACATAGATTACTACAGCTTTGTAGTATATACTGATACCCAGAATTGTGACACCTCCAGCTTTGTTCTTCTTTCTCAAGATGGCTTTGGCTAATGGAGGTCTTTTGTGGTTCCATATAAATCTGAGGAAATGCTGTTGTATTTTGATAGGGATTGCCTTAAATCTGTAGTTTGGGGACACCTGCGTGGCTCAGTCAGTTGAGTGTATGACTCTTGTATTTGGCTCAGATCATTATCTCAGGTTCCTGGGAGGGAGCCCCACATCAGGCTTCATGCTCAATAGGGAGTCTGCTTGAGGACTCTCTCTTCCTCTGTCCTCCTCTGACTTGGGTACTCTCTCAAAATAAATAAATAAATAAATATTTTTTAAAAATCTGTAGACTGCTCTGGACAGTATGGACATTTTAACAATATTTGTTCTTTCCATTCATGAGCATGGAATATCTTTCCATTTGTGTTGTCAATTTTTTTTTTTTTCATCAATTTTAAGTTTCTGGAGTACAGATCTGTCACCTCCTTGGTGAAGTTTTTTCCTAGATATTTTATTCTTTTTGGTACAATTGTAAATAGGACTATTTTCTTTACTTTCTGCAGCTTCATTATTAGGGTATAAAAATGGAACAGATTTCTGTATATTGATTTTGTATCCTCTGACTTTACTAAATTCATATATCAGTCTAGTAGTTTTCTGATGGAGTCTTCCAGGTTTTCTATATATAATATCACATCATCTATAAATAGTGGAAGTTTTACTTCTTCCTTGCCAATTTGGATGTCTTTTATTTTTGTTGTCTGATTGCTATGGCTAGGACTTCCAGTATTATGTTGAATAAAAGTGGTGAGAGTGGACATCCTTGTCTTATTCCTGATCTTACCAGAAAAGTTGCCAGTTTTTGCCATTGAGTACGCTGGGTGTGGGTTTTTCACATTTGACTTTTATTATGTTAAGGATTGTTTCCTCTAAACCAACTTTGCTGAAGGTTTTTATCATGAATGGGTTTTACACGTTGTCACATGCTTTTTCCGCATCTATTGAAATGATTATATGGCGTTTATCCTTGGTCTTATTGATATGATATATGATGTTGATTAATTCGTGAATACTGAACATCCCATGAATCCAGGGAATAAATCCTAGTGGATCACAGTGAACAATTTTTTTGATATATTGTTGGATCCAGTTTGCTACTAGTTTGTTGAAGAATTTTACACCTATGTTCAACAGAGATATGAGCCTGTAGTTCTATTTTTTTGAAAGGTGTCTTTATCTGGTTTTGGTATCAGGGTAATGCTGGCCTCACAGAATGAATCTGGAAGTTTTCCTTCCTCTTCTGTGTTTTGGGATAGTTTGAGAATAGCTTTAAACTCTTCTTTGGTAGAATTTACCTGTGAAGCCATCTGGTCCTGGACTTCTGTTTATTGGGAGTTTTTTGATTACTGATTCAGTTTCATTACTGGCAACCAGTCTATTCAAATTTTGTTTCTTCCTGATTCAGTTTGGGGAGCTTTTATGTTTCTAGGAATTTCTCATTTTTTCTAAGTTATCCAATTTGTTGGCATATAATTTTTCATACTATTCTCTTACAATTCTTTATATTTCTGTGGTGTCAGTTATTTCTCTTCTTTCATTTCTGATTTTGTTGAATTGTCTCATTTTTTCTTTTTGATGAGTCTAAATATCTATTGGTTTTGTTGCTCTATTCAAAGAACTGGCTCCTAGTTTCACTGTTTTTTTGTTTGTTTGTTCGTTTGTTTGTTTCTATTTCATTTATTTGTGCTCTAATCTTTATTATTTCCTTCCTTCTACAGGTTTGGGTTTTATTTGTTCTTTTTCTAGCTGTGTTAAGTGTACCTTTAGGTTTTTAATTTAATATTTTCCTTGCTTCTTGAGTTAGGTTGTATTGCTATAAACTTCCCTCTTAGAACAGCTTTTGCTTCATTGCAAAGATTCTAGATCATTGTATTTTCATTTTCATTTGTCCCCATGTTTTTTTTTTTTTAAATTTCCTCTTTGATTTCTTGCTTGACTCATTCATTGTTTAGTAGCATGTTATCTAATCTCCACATCTTTGTGGTCTTTCCAGATTTTTTTCCTATGGTTGATATTAGTTTAATAGCACTCTGGTTAGAAAAACTGCATGGTAGGACTTCAATCTTTTTAATATATTGAGACTTGTTTTGGGGCCTAGTATGTGACCTATTCTGGAAAATATTCCTTGTATACTTGAAAAGAATGTGTATTCTGCTGTTTTAAGATGGAATGTTATGAATATATCATTTGATCCACCTGGTCCAATGTGTCTTCCAAAGCCACTGTTTCCTTGTTGATTTTTTTTTTTTGGATGATCTATTGATTTAAGTAGGATGATAAAGTCTATTATTGTATTACTATCAATTACTTCCTTTTCCTTTATGTTTGTTATCAGCTGCTTCATGTATCTGGGTGCCCCCAAGTTTGGTGTGTTAAGTATTTACAACTGGTATATATTCTTGTTGCACTGTTCCTTTTTTTTTTTTTTTTTAAGATTTTATTTATTTGACAGACAGAGATCACAAGTAGGCAGAGAGGCAGGTGGTGGTGGTGGTGGGAAGCAGGCTCCCCACAGAGCAGAGAGCCCAATGTGGGGCTCAATCCCAGGACCCTGGGATCATGACCTGAGCCGAAAGCAGAGGATTTAACCCACTGAGCCACCCAGGCACCCCAGCATTGTTCCTTTTATTACTAGTGTCCTTTGTCTCTTTATACAGTCTTTGTTTTTTTAATATCTATTTTGTCCTATGTAAGTATTACTACTTATCTAGTTCTTTTCACTACTGTATTACTACTTATAGAAGTTCTTTTCACCTCCATTTGCATGATACCTGCTTTTCTATCCTTTCACTTAAAAAAAAAAAGATTTTACAGAGAGATTATGCACCTGA